AAAAAAAAAAAAACACCACACATCAGCCCGCGGGTGTCAGCACGAAACCCGCACCACTTCGGAGGCCTGTATATATGCATATCTACAAAATCTATACATAATAAATATTTATATACTATTACAATTAGCCGATACTTTTTTTCAACGGCGGTGTCCATAGCTTGTGGCGACAAAAAAACTTTCGGCAAGGCTGGCGCCGTGTACTTGCTTGCGGGTTAAGACGGTAGTACTGTACTCCAGCTCATATCTGTTCATCTCAGGTAACTTGAATACAAGGGGGCAGTGACATAATACGACGTTCGACAGGACAGGGCACTTGCAAAAGTGCTTGCGTGCGGCATGCAGCAATTACCGTAGAAATCATACGTAGAAGGGAAACTGGGTGTGGCAGAGAAGGGGGGGGGGGGAGAGAAGAAAAGAAAACAAAACAAAAAAGGTGGTGCGACATAGGGGAACTTACTGAAATACTGTATTGACATGCAGGTCAGTGAAAGCCGCCGCTGAAAGCACCCTGTAAAGGAAGAGTCCGTCGTCGTTCTTTGATGCATTCGGATTTGCGTATGAAATGTATAGGAAGGGAGCAACTGATCGATCCGTCGTGGCGATGTTCGTTGGAAGACTGGCTAGATTAGGCATCCCGAAATACGCCTGTGAAGACCAAACACAAACCAAGGGAAGCAAGTCCACCAAAGCAACAGCTATGTTTAGCAAACTTGCAAAAAACTGCGCCGTGCGCCGTACCGTGCAGTGTGCTGTACCAGCGCCAGTTCCCTTTTTTTTTTTTTTTACGCCTTTTTTGTAGATACAGAGGAGTGCAATACCTAAGGAACTGATCTTTTTCAAGTACAATCGTACAGGGTGTTTTTTTTTTTTTTTATCCTGATAAAAACCGGAAACCGGATCCGTTGTCCCTCACAAAGGCCGACCGTTATGGCATGATCTGGGCACTTCGGCCAGGTTTGGGCATGAGAAATAGCAAAGCAAACATAAGAGCCCTTTGACTACCGTCTTCACCCGAATAGAACGCCCGGTAATTATTGCCGTATCTGGGCTGAAAGTTGCGCCAAATACAGCTATAGTGACCGGGCGTTCTATTCGGGTGAAGACACTAGGAAACTTGAATAACCAAACTACTAGGAAAGACGAACAGAACTCGAACAACCGAACCAGGAACAGCAAACAGAACTGGAACAACTAAGCCAGGAACAAACGGGACCTTAAGAACCAAACCGGGAACAAACGGAACTCAATCAACTAATTTAAAACCAGGAACAACAAATCGAACTCGAAACCAGAATAGGAACGACGGTACAAGAACTCATCAACCAAACTCTCGTACACAAATGCAACCTGAACAATCATACCAGGAACAAACAGTGTGCGAAAAACCAAACCAGGAACAAACGGAGTGCGAAAAAACAAGCCAGGAACAAACGGAGTGCGAAAAACCAAACCAGGAACAAACGGAGTGCGAAAAACCAAACCAGGAACAAACGGAGTGCAAAAAAACAAACCAGGAACAAACGGAGTGCAAAAAAACAAACCAGGAACAAACGGAGTGGGAAAAACCAAACCAGGAACAGCTAGAGGAGCAAAGGAGGCACTTTCAGAAATTGCACAAAACCGGGTTTGACTGAACTATTACAGGATTCGAACTTTTGACCTGTCAACGAGGAGAGTGTGTACTACTGTGTAGCCCACGATCCACCAGCCACATGCTGTGAAATAAGCATCCTCCCCTAATTCACATATTTCGGTCACTCTTCTTGCGCGTAACCGCGCCTTGACACTGGTTCCAACCCAACTGATTGATACTCCCCAAGGAGGTCTTACCAATACGGTCGGATCGGCGCTCCTGGTGTGGGTAGCAGGCCATAGCAGAAGGTTGTAGTGTAGGTTAAGTAAGAAAGGTGGAAAAACAAAAAGTCGTCGATTTGATTTGCTTTGCTTTGATTTGATTGCGGTTATTCTGTTTGCTACTACCGTCTTCACCCGAATAGAACGCCCGCCCGGTCATTATAGATGTATTTGGCACAACTTTCTGTCCAGATGCAGCGATAATGACCGGGCGTTCTATTCGGGTGAAGACGGTAGTGTTTGGCTCATAGCGTTGTCGTCTGCACAGAGCGAGTGTTCGAACACATTTTGGGGGGCCAAAAGATCTGAAGCAGCGCATAGTGTTTCTTGAGTTTCAAAAATGTCGATGGAAGTAGTCGCAGGTGCCTTTCTCTGCCCAGAACTGCTGCAGTCACTATGTAAGGGACGCCGGGCCCGCTTCCCGGTTTCCTAATTGAATTTCCTTGTTAGGAAAAAAAAAAGAAAAAAAAAAGAAAGTTCGACGCTATTGATTAAGGGTTGTTTTTTCTGTTGTTTGCGGTTGATTAAGGGTTGACTAATTTTTGACTAATTTTTGACATGCATCCCGGGCTGTGCGGTTTCGATCAAATTTGCGTGAAGTTTGTGTGAAGCTTCAGAGAAGGGATAATACACATGTATGAAGTTTGTGTGAAGCTTCAGAGAAGGGATGATAGGGCTATGAAGTTTGTGTGAAGCTTGACAGAAGGGATGATGGGTCTATTATGAGTACTTAAATAAGAAAGTAAGTTCCAAGTGGAAGCAAAGAAGAAAAGAAGAAGGTTAATGGAATATATATAAGCTTAACGACATTAACGCTCCTTTCTTTCTCTCGTGCGTGAGCTTTGTGTACTTAGACTCATTATCGGGTTGAGTAGTATAAATGCAATACGTACGAACACCGAACGGGCCTAGCTCAGTCCAAATACACCCGGAACTGTTGAAATACAGACCCGAGTTCGAATCCAGATACGATCAGATGACCAGAATAGAGTAGAGCAGTACCTGGGGCTGGATATTGCGGGTTGGGTTTCGATCCCTGAACGTATACTTCTTGGCGTCCTCTAGCAATCGTAGGCCACCAAAATGGCTGCAACACGTTGGCTGAAGTCCTCTCGTAACCTAAATGACCTGCCGCATCATGACACTCCCACCTAAAAATAAACTACGCAAATACTTTTTTTTTTCTTTTTTTTTTTTTGTGGCGGGCCGCTCCATCTATTGGTGGGGAGCAGCACCTGCTGGAAAACGGGTCCAGCGTCTGCTACTTGGGTGGGACAGACATACAACCTTTTTATTCTCAGCCTTTTTTTTTTTTCTTTTTTTTTTTTTCTTTTTTTTCTCAGCCTTTTCAAGGGCGAGTAAGCCGTCGACCTCCACAAACTCGGTGGACGTAGCTTTATCTTGGGCCTCCCATGCAGTTCGCAGTCGGAGAAATCTGCAGTATTCTGATAAAGTCTCTGCATGAGATTTCCCATTTCTGAAGTCTCTTTTGCGGTGTTTTGGGAGTCGTGCGTGTCGTGCTGATGATGTATGTCTTGTATACCCGAGTGCTTGTCCATTGACGATTTGAGTCGAAGTGCCTGTCTCCCTGCGCTAACTCTGTTCTCGTGTTGTGTTTCTGTGACTCTTGAGAGGCTAGAATGGATGTTAGGTGTACGTAAAGGGGCGGGGCTGAAATTTGGACGAGGGGACTTACTAGGACAATTCCGGGGACAGACAGGGGTAAAGATATAATTTGTTAGTGACCCAACAGGGATATTCCAGTAACTCCGCTAGGCCCGGAGGTCGGGTAGGCTACCAAGTAGAGTAATGGCGGTACCGGTCTGTATCCAGTCAGGATTAGACCCAGGTACGGATCGAACACGGAGGATTACAGTCTGCTGTTATGTTCCCATCGAAAGGAGGGAACCTGTAGGCAGGGTAGCACACCTGGCGCCGGGTGCAATGAGCAGTCTGGGCATTCACTCACTTGACAGTCATGCTGCTGCTCCACACTTGGGGAGACTGAGGTAGAGCACTGGATGGATGAAGGAGGCACTGAGGGAGAGGAGGAAAGACCTCCATCGCTGTTTAGGATGAGTAGGAGGAGGAGGGAGAAGGCCTAGGCTATGGAGGTACAGGGAGAAGGACTTCAAGCTATGGTGGAAGGGAAGAATAGAATAGAGGCGGTGCAGGAGGAGGAGGAGGAGGAAGGAGGGAACCGACAAGAGAGGTTACCCTTGGCTATGGTGGACCTCCATCTCCACTTCCTTGGTTGGTGCTGCATCTAGAAGGCCCCTGCTGGGGTGCCGGTTGGACATGGACTTCATCTGGGAGTGTGGCTATGGCAGTCGCAGTAGGACATGAGAGGGGTTGGCTTGTGGATTGTCCTCTGAACATCTGTTGTAAGCATGGATGAACCGTCATAGCCAGTTGCTCAACCATGAGGGGAGGAGAGAGCGAGAGGGAGGGGCTGAAGCAGAGCTCTTTGAGTGGTGGACGTAGGGGGATAATTCAGACATTCACTCTTGTTCATTCATTCATTTATTGTTATGGTATTTAATTGTTAATACGAGGAGGCAGCCTGGTATGCCGAGGCTGGTATTAAAAAAAAAAAAAGAAAGGAAAAGAATTTAGAACAGCAGTAATATATAGACAGAGCTAGACAGATAAGACCAAAAAGGACATTAGATGTCGATAGCAAAGAGAGCCGGAAAAAAAAAAAAAGAAGAAAAAAAAAAAAAGAAGAAGAAGAAGAAGACGTCGACAGCACAGAGAGCCGCAAGGGAAAGACACAAAAGTGAAAAAACCCTAAACCCTCAAATCACCAAACTCACATCCCCCTCCACACTGATAGCTCAAAGCCCTTTACACTGTGCCTTTTGTCTACTAATCTTTGCTACTGTCTTCACCCGAATAGAACGCCGGTCATTATAGCTGTATTTTGGCACAACTTTCGGTCCAGCTGCAGCCATAATGACCGGGCGTTCTATTTGGGTGATGACCGTAGTCTTTGCTTATGTCAGCTTAGCCGCGTCAGAGCTTACAATAGGCTCTGTACCTGCAACATGGCTCTGCATGGTCTGCTGCTATACCAGGTTAGCCTGGTGGCAGTGAATGGTATGCTGCAGACTAGAGCCTTTTTTTTTTTTTTTTTTTTTAATTTAAGGCTCCAATCTATTCGTGGGGAGCAGACTAGAGCCATTGACCTGCAGGCTGAGAGTTCGAAACTCCAAATCCCCACTGATTCTGGACATTAGAGATTACCCCAACGGCAGCTAGCCTGAGCTAGGCCACCCTAAATTTACTAACCAGAACTAAGCTCTCCTAAGGTTATGGGCCTACATCTACCTATCTCCTTCTCCTTTTTTTTTCATTTACATCTACCTATCTCTGCTCTGCATGGGGAGCAGTACCCAAACTCCTAACACCTGGTGCGGGCTGGAAAGAATCTCACTTCCACAACCAACCAGGAGTCCCAAGCCAACATTCTCCGCTGGTGAACCCAAAGCATCCCCCAGGAGGCCGCAGGAATCGAAAGGATGACGTTGGGTATCGAGCCCACGACCTCCTGAATGCCACTTACGTGCTCAACCAACTGAGCTAGCCCGCTTTTTTTGTTTCCATACTTTCCAACAACAGTCAATGTGCTGTTCCTTTGAATCCACTCGGTACCATCAGATCACTAAGGCCTGCTCGACGAGTCCGAGTCAGTCTTGCAGTCAAGCTCCCTTTTATGTGTGTCATCCTTCTGCAGGGACCATGCTAATCTTCTCTGTATTGTTCCAATTTTAACAGATGTCCCGAAGGAAGCTCCCTTTTGCCTTTACACTCAATGGGCGATTTCCGTCCAGCCCGAGGGAACCTTTGCACGCCACCTCCATTACCCTTTGGGAGGCCTACGCCGCATAGAAACTGTCTACCTGAGACTTTTCCTTAGTCGGGAACGACGTAAGGTTAAGAATTCTAGCTTCTCAGAAGTGGTATCTCACTGATGGCTCCAGTCTTTCCGGAAAAAGACCTTCTAAGCCTTCCACCTAAGCTGCGCAGGAAAAGCCCAAACCCAATCCCAGGGAACAGTAAAGCTTCATAGGGTCTTTCTGTCCAGGTGCAGGTAGTCCGCATCTTCACAGACATGTCTATTTCCCTGAGTCTCTGTCCGAGACAGCACCCAGATCGTTACGTTTCGTGCGGGTCGGAACTTACCCGACAAGGAATTTTGCTACCTTAGCACCGTTATAGTTCCGGCCGCCGTTCACCAGGGCTTCGATTGCTATAGCTTCACCATAAAATAGGAATTACCAACTTCCTTCACCTTCTGGCACTGGGCAGGCGTCAGCGCCCCCATACGTAGTCTTGCGACTTTGCGGAGACCTGTGTGTTTGTTGAACAGCCGCCTGGGCCTGGTCACCGCGACCTCCTGTATAAGGAGGTACTCAGGTACCCCTTCTCCCGAAGTTACGGGGCCATTTTGCTGAGTTCCTTAGAGAGAGTTGTCTCGCGGCCCTAGGTATTCTCTCTATCTACCTACCTACCTACCTGTGTTGATAGGAACAGGCACCCACTTTTTTTTTTTTTTTTTTTTTTCAAATTTGGACCATTCTCGATTTATGCGTGTCATCCTTGTGCAGGGGCCATGCTAGTCTTCTCTGTATCGTTCCAATTTTAACGGATGTCCCGAAGGACGACACAGGCACCCACTTATTCTTAGTCTTTCGTTGGAAGCATGGTATGGATTACTTCAGTGCCGTAGCACCTAGTACTAGGATGTTAGCTCAGAGAGTTTTCTCCACTCCTCACCTTGCATCCTTGAACCGATCATCATTTTTCGGATAATCTATATAGCCTTCTCCGACCCTTGGGACAAATAAGGGGCGGTACAGGAATATTCGCTTGTTGTCCATTGACTGCACCTTTCGGCCGAGGTTTGCGTTACTCAAGCCGACATGCGCGCTTCCGCTTCGTCCACACCTGTTTACACTGATGCTGCCTTGTAGGGCTTGTGGGTAGGACATAGATATGGGTAGCCAGTGTGAGCTAGAAAGAGAAAAGAAAAGAGGGTAGGGGAAAAAACTTCAAAAAAGACAATTGTCCCCCATATGAGGAGAAGTCAGCTGTAGTTTTTTCAACAAAACAAAAAAATGAAGGGGTGAAAAAAGGGGGGTTAAGAATATATATATATATATTTCTATTTGACAATATATATATATCGTCACAAACAGATATATATATATGAAAACAATATATTATATTATATATATGAAAACAATTAATATGCGGATGCAGTACCTGATCATCCATCGCCCCATGTTCTAAGAGGATGACCAATATGCTTTCGATACTCTGCTGCCTGCAGAGTTCCAAGCGTCTGACCTACCCAATCCAACCAGGTCCACTTTTCTGCTCCTGCACCATTAGTTTGGCAGTCCTAGATACCTTTTTCTGCACCCCTGGCCCATAACTTATAAGCCTACAGCAGGCCCTTCTTTCTGCACCTGCAACGTTCTTTTGCCCGCTGGCAGGTCCTTGTCTGCCTGCACCCATGGGCTTGTCAGTGTTGTCACCCTTCAGCCAGTCCTAGGTACTTTCCCCCACTTTTGGTTTGTTATCCTGCACACAGATCCATCTCTTCACCATTGACTTCTCAGCCTTAAGGTCTTTTTTGTCTGCACTATATTTGGGAGAAGGAGAGGGAGAAGGAGAGGGAGAAGGAGAAGGAGAAGGAGAAGCAGAAGGAGAAGGAGAAGATGAAGGAGAAGGGAAGAGGAAGATTGAAACTCAACTGGATTGATGAGACCCTCAACATAGGTGACATGCAGTTGCTTCCATCGAAGACGAGGTAGGTGTGCATTTTCGGGGAGCTTGATCTCCTCTGCTTGGAGTGGTGCTGCAATAATCACTGCACTGCACTCCTCTGACTCATTGGACGCCAGGCGTATCATGTACCTGTATCCAATGGCGGCGTCATCATCCATGAAAGTCAAAGAGCAGTTCGCTTTTTTTATGTTATTTTCCCCCTCAAATCACTCCTGTAATTCAAGAGCACTTCTCACCAACTTCTTCATCCCAAAATGCACTCAATTTTTGTGACATGATGATATCAAATAATCAAACACACATTCTCATGCATGAGAAGAAAAACCTGTCTTCTTTTTAATAGTTTTTATTACTCTCCTCTCCCCCCCCTCTGCCTGCTCCTCTGACTCATTGGACGCCAGGCGTACCATGTACCTGTATCCAATGGCAGTGTCATCATCCATGAAAGTCAAAGAGCAGTTCCCTTTTTTTATGTTATTTTTCCCCTCAAATCACTCCTGTCATTCAAGAGTACTTCTCACCAACTTCTTCATCCCAAAATGCACTCAATTTTTGTGACATGATGACATCAAATAATCAAACACAGATTCTCATGCATGAGAAGAAAAACCTGTCTTCTTTTTATTACTCTCCTCTCCCCCCCCTCCGCCTGCTTGGCTCCTTACCAGCTAGATGACGTTGTATGGA